TCCGGATTTTCAACTCCAATGTGAAGTCAGTGCTACTATACGGATCAGAGACTTGGCGAGTCATAAAGAGCATCTCAAACAAACTTCAAACCTTCATTAACAACTGTCTCCGCTCAATACTCAAGATCAGATGGCCAGAAAAGATCAGCAACAGGGATCTCTGGGAGCGAACCAATCAGGAACCGATTGTGAAACAAATAGGCAGAAAGAAATGGAGATGGATTGGCCATACGCTGAGGAAACCATCAAGTGACATCACTAGACAAGCCCTCGAGTGGAACCCGAAAGGGAGGCGGCGAGTTGGTCGTCCAAGGGTGACTTGGAGGAGGTCATGCGAGGAGGAGATGAAAGCATGTGGACAGACCTGGAGCAGGGTGAAAAAGTTGTCAGAAAACCGAAGTCAATGGAGGTGCGCAGCTGAAGCCCTATGTTCCTCTAGGAACTAAAGGATACAATAATAATAATAATATACCGTGGATGATAAGAAGCACCCTTTTCTGACTCCTGTGTTTACTCGAAACACCTCGCTGAGTTTTCCGTTGTGGATGACTTGGCATGTGCCACCGTTGTCGTACAGCTGTTGAATAAGGTTGATGAATATTTGGGCGCTGCACGCCGTAGTACTCGAGTAGTTTCCAAATAACTTCGCGGTCAACGCTGTCTGTCGAAGGCCTTCTCAAAATCTGTAAAGTTGAGGTAGAGACAAGTTTGATTGCCATTCCATGCTTTGTTCTGGGATGATGATGCGTAGAGTTGCAATTTGGTCAGAACATGATTTGCGTTCCCTGAATTCAGCTTGTTCTGGTTGGAGTTTTGTGTCCAGTGCGTCCTTTATTCTCTCCAGGATGATGCGACTCAGAATTTTACTTGTCTTCGACAGGAACACGATTCCTTACCAGTTCTTGCAGAGTCCTTAGTCTCCCTTCTTTGGTAGTTTCACGAGATGACCTTTCTTCCAGTTAGTAGGCACCTTTCCCTCCTTCCAGACCTTTTGCAATAGTAGAGTCAGCATATGTGCTGTCGTCTATCGATCCGCTTTCGGTGATTCAGGGTGTATTCCATCTGGTCCAGCTGCTTTTCCAGCTTTCAGAAGCTTGATTGCATTCAAGAATTCTGCTCTCTTTGGTGGATTGGTGTCAACTTGCAGTTGTATACGCGCTGTTGTTGGTATTATGTTGTTCCATTAACGTTGATCGTATTATTAATACAGTAAAATAATCAGATTGAACAAGATGGAGAGCAAAGTGTTAGTTAACTGTTATTTTTATTTGAAATATGCACTTTTGACAGTACAGTCTAATTTAAACAAACCAGTCAGAGACAAACTTGTCAATCAAACTAATAAATATAGAAATAAACAGAGATATTCGTTAAGATTATCTCAAATGAAATAACTAAATTATAGGTCAAGTTATGGGCAATGCTAGCATAATTATAAACACTGTTAATCATTTTCTCAACCACTTGACCCTTTTCTATTATTTATTCAATTGTTATGATCTAATCCCTATTCCCTTTGCAACCCACTTATAAATACAAATATAACAAATGTATTTGTAACGACAGAAGGCAAGAGTCAGGCAACAGATCGTTTATTGTGGAAATCAACACATATTTGTAGATTTTCATGTACATATCATAGATAAGTTTGCGTCGGTGGCACAGCGAATAGGACTCTTGCCGACCATGCACATGGTCTGGGGTTCGATCCCCCTGTGACTGACGTTGTATGTTGCTGCTGTTGTTGTTGTTGGTTGGTTGGTTATTCTCATAACCTCCGTTTTGTCTATGTTTACCTGGAGTCCTGTCTTCGCCGGCTGCTTCTTCGATCAGTTTGTCGGTTGGTTTTCGCTTGTTAGTCTTCGATTTTGTGTGGCAGTGACATATGTCTCAGTCATGTCAATTATTAAAGCATCGTAGCTTTATCCACCAACTTATTTTCCATAATTTACCCTCTTTGTCGTACAAAACTCATTTTAACTTAGTGATGTTGCGTCTGTGGTTCATTGGCGGAATGTTGAATAACAACGCCGCACATGGTACGAAGGTCGATCCCCTGCGGTCGGCGCATTCCTAAACCTCACTAGTCTGACAGTAATGTTGTTAAAGAGGGAAGGTTAGTCATGAGGCTAACATCCTCATCCTATTGAAAAAATAAACACCACAGCTATTGAAGGTGTACAGATGAGAGGCTGAAGCTCTATGTTTCACTGCGAACGTAAAAGGAATAACCGAAATATTGGTTCAGCTACTGAAATCAATCCAGTGAACACCTATATCACTTAAAACCTGTAGTCTTTGTTTATTTTTTTTTATAAATTTTAATTCCCTTAGGGATCAGGAAATTAATGTCGATTTGTTTTGCTTTTTCAATACTAATTAGAATAATTTTCATGTGGTAATATAACAAGCCAACTGCATAGATTTTTGTCATTGTGATTTCTTGTCCCTCTCTCTCTCTCACACCCACTCGTAAGTATTTGTCATTACGCTGAATCACTTATCTCAGTAAACATCAAGATCAGAAGAAATTTATCGGATACAACGTCGTGTTCAATTTTGTGTGTAACCATCGTACTAGTTAGTAGTAGGTAATTGCAACCAAAAGTGGATTTTCTCACAAAATAAGATGAGTTACATAATCATTCAAAATCATGGGGTATTGGAGAGCTGTCGACTCCTAGCTAGGGACTCTTCATCACTGCACATCTGAGGCTTTACCATGGATGAAACCTCAGTGAGCTACACTCATCCTGGGTTCCACCCCTAATGGTGCTGCTGTGGGTGCAAACTGCTGAATACTCCTTGACTAGAACGGATCAGCCGCGTCCATTGCTCCTTATTTTTTTCAACTAAATCGATTCATAACAAAATCTATATTGAAATTAATGCCCAAAATCTGAGTAATATATATTTTCGATCGCCACTAATCAAAAAATCATTGATAAACATTTCTGAACAAAATTTTATTAATTGTTTTCAAGCTAATTTTTTGATTTTCCCGTTAATTGATTGAACGGAAACGTCTGGCCTTTGTTGACATTTCGGCTTCTCGTACGGATATCTCTACGATATCTAAGGACCAACCTGGGGCGATTCGGTGCACGAAGACTAGCAGTGGAATACAATCTACGCTGATGGATGTGTACCTGTATTCTTCAGCGGGTGGTATTGTTCTCATCACTGAAACTCGAACCCAGTGCCCGTCGTTTTAGGCGTCTAATCGTTGTCTACTAGACTGTTTCGGCCAAGACAGCCTTCTGTTGTAGTCCTGTTTATTATTCTCATCGGTTGCAAATGGAACAAAAGGCTCCACCAGGATACATCCATGTAATCCTCTTCTCTAAAGTCTTCTTTAGCTGGCCTCACAACTAATCCTAGACTTTCAACTCCTCCTCTGACGATCTCCTCCGTGTTAACCTAAGACTAACACGCAACTCTTCGTTTCCTATCCAGGTTCTACTCAATCGATGGCCTGGCATGAGATGTCAGCGTGTGTCCGATCCATCGCCATTTTCTTAAGACCATTTGTTGATCAATCGGTTTTGGGTTGGTTCGTCCTCAAATTTTTTCTTGTTACTAATCTTTTCTGGCCATTTGATCTTTAGTATTGAGCGAAGTAAGCAGCTGTTGATAAAGGTCGGCAGTAGCCTGTTGGGAGTGATTGTCTTGTGACTAGCTAAGTCTCTGACCCATATAGAGAAGCACTGACTGAGTCAAATCCGGATCTTGTTCTTTACGCTGACTTCAGAGTGATAAAGTTTTTTGTTTTTGCCTTTCTGATCCTAGTTTTGACATCCTCATCCGTTGCGCCTGTAGTAGAAACGATTCTGCCTAGATAAGTAAATAAAAGGTGTTGTGACCTCCTTCAAGTTACTCCCGTTGTTAGTGATTTATGCTTGTTAAACTTGGTCGGTGGGGGGGGAGGTATCTTCATCACCTCTGTCTTCTTAAAATGTTCACTTGAAGTCGTGTCTTTGCTACTTCTTCTATCAGCTTGTTGGTTTTCTCCTGTGAGTCTTCGAATCTCTATGACACACATTAGACACAAATCACACGTAAAGTTAAGATCTTCTAGAATCTTCATATCGATCTAACAACATATTCCTATCTTCTCGATGCTTCCGATGACGTGTTACACGATACAATCTACCAGAATATCAGCAATATCATCAGTGATAGTAGACAGCAGCCTTTTCTTCCCCCTTCCCTTCACTCCAAAGGCTTCGTTAAGTTTACCGTTGTGGATCCCTTGACATATGTGTACATATATGGCATTGTCATACAGCTGTTGGATGAAAGGTTGCAAAAAAAGATTTGTGACTCCATTGCACGTCATCAGCCACCAAATTATATCTGCTTTTATTCCTTCCTTATCATTGATTGTTTATCCTAATCCCCCCTCCCGCCCTAACTATCTGCTCACTACTAACATTAGTAAAAGTACAAATGAAGTGTTCTACTACTACTACTACTACAACGTTTGTTTCTTTACAATTTTCTTGATTAACAAGAAGTCATTCACGATTTCTCCTTTAAACAAAAAACAGCAACAACAAAACAACAAGAACAATTACAACATCAGTAGCAATATTAATGATTGTGATCCCTATTCACTTCTCAATGGTCAAAGATCCTGTTGTCCTTAATTATAATAATAAGCTTACCTGTCCACTATGTGTATGTGTGCATGCTTGTGCGTATGTTTATTGGCTTCAGTCTCTGTCTTTGTGCATGTAGCTATATACATTAGTGGGAATCGTAACTAACAACACTGAACATCAAACGATAATGACCTGTAGTTTTCCTGTTTGTCCTTATAACTTTTGTTGATTATGAACACATAGATAGATAGTTATTTATAAATGCATTCACCTTATTCTATCTACATCAGCACATCATGTTTCAATGAGTTTAAAATTGTTGTTCTTGTTGTTGTTTTTTTTTGTTCTACCTCCTCTCTCCTACACGCTTCCCTTTTATGCATCACATAACAACAGTGACCTGAATATATCGTCCAATATAAGACCAGATGTTGGTAATTTGCAGAGGAAGATTCGGGTAAGTGAAAAAAGTTAAGTAAAATAAAATGAAAATAATTTAATTGCCAAATTATGATAAACATTTTTCGTGGGTGATGTTTGAAGAAGCTACACTGTAATTTGAGAAGACTACTATTAATAGTGATAATAATAATGATAGCAGTAGCATTCAGTTTCATCCAGTACCTCATGTACTTCAGTGAGTGTGATTATATCATTGTTTTTGAAATATTTGAGGGTGTGTGTATATGCGTGTGTGTGTGTGTGTAAACATGGTGTCTTAAACACACTGACTTTCCTTTTTCAGATCACTTGTAGCCTATTGAATATTAATCGTCTCTGTTGTTTTTTTAAGTGAGATCAATTCGTTCTGGGTGTTGGGTGATGTTGTTGTTTATTTCTTAGAAGGGACATTGTGACTTCATGATCCAAAATGTACTCATCACATAAAGTATTTCTGAAAAAAGGGTAACACTTAAAATTCCAGTCATTCATTGAAATTCGTCTGTTTACACTCAATTTCACACAGAATTATCAGTTTCATACCTGTGCATATTCTTGTGATCTTTTGTTGGTTGTTAGTTGACTGTAGAAGTTATTCAGCTTTATTATATTTAACAGGTGTGTGTAATGAACTTAAGGACCGGTCTTTTTTGTTATTTTTATTTTGTTCCTTTACCGTCCGAAGGGAACATGGAGCAGCCTCAGGCTGGACCTTTGAAGTTTCAGTAGCATTGGTTTTTATTTTTACGAGGCGGGATTCCCAGCCTTACTTAAATCCAACCTTCTATCTTCACTGGACTTACTGTCAGCTAAGTGAAGTTTAGGAGTATGTTGGCCCCGGTGGTCGAACCCCGAACCATATGCGTGCGTGGTTGTGATCATTATTCCACTGTACCCACCAACGCACAAGGATAAGGATAAGTTTGGTTAAAATAGTAGGTACTCTCCTTATTTGAGGTGTGAATAAAGAAGATTCATTTGTTGTACAATATAGTCTTGGTGATGATCACTTTCAACAGTAGGCCATTAAGTGTGTGTCCCTTGTGCCAATCATTTTAACCCCCCACTTACACTATCCATGCCACCAAGATTGTGACTAGACTGTAGCGTTCGAAGTGTTTCAATGTATTGAAAGTAAATTGATGATTCATGACTGACTGGTCTGAATGTAGAATTTTGCAGAGAAGTGCAGCAATCCAACTTTTCACACACCATGTAGGAAAAAAAGAGAGACAAACGAGTGGGGAAGAAGAAATTCGGAACAACGATAAGACGCAGAAATGTGAAGGAGAATAGGAATGGTGACATGGAAAAATAACGGATTTTTAATGTATATGGCAGAACACGTAAAGTGAATGCATGTGTGTCATTGGAAAAGATTTCGAGCCATATCACCATATCTCTCTCCAGTCATTGGTTCTGAGGAGTTTAACCAAGAAGTTCACACCTTCCCACGTGGCTCAAACTAACTGTCAAAGATTACATGGATTGTTGCTAGGTTTTGTTTTGACCACCAGTAACTTTTCCAGTCTGATGTTATATCACCGAAGATTGCTCATTGTGAAAGGGGATGGTCGGGCATGCGTAATACATGTCCTTACCACCTCAGTCAACGTAGTTTCACAACCTTATCGATTGGCTTGCCTTCCTTACGTAACACTTGACGCCTAACGTCAATGGTATTTAGTCACTTAGCATGGGAGACAGAACGCAGATACTTATGATCAATGATGGCTGGCTTTTTCATGTCTTCCACTTTCAATGACCGTGTCTCATAGCTACATGGAAGGATGAGGTGAAATGGTTCGTTGTACACACACTTCCTTTAATCGATAATTGGATATCACGCCAACTATAAGTTAATGACTAAGTTATTAGTGGTATTCGAGATCTGTAGAGCAGACTTGGAGTGATGTTTTCAATTTCTTATTCTCAGTAGCAGATGACAGAATAACTGGATCACCCGTTGTCTGAGGGAAACTCATTATAGCCGTCACACGTCTACCATGCATTATATCGATTTCACCTTTCGGTTCCGCATCGTTGTTTAGGCTATTTAGGTTGCTGTTAGTATTACAACCATCTATTCAACCTTTTAAGGTGATATCATCCCATCCAGATTAGCAAAGTAGGTCACTGTGGTATTCAAAGGGGAATCATTACCGTGTCAAGGTTAGGAGCCTTCAGTTTGGTGTGAAATGGACGCACAAATTCAGCTGCTTTTTTGATTCCATCATAGATAAATTTAAAAAAGAGGAGTAGATTGACACTTTTCTATATTTCAAAGAGAGAATTATTGGTTAAAAAATTGTTTGCATTGCTCATTGCCATGAGGGTGAAAGATGAGTTTAGTATGTATGTAGACAACTCATGTAAACTCATGGCTGGCATATTACCGGTAATCGAAATCTGTAGTGGGAACCAGTGTGTGTACTGTGTTGATTGTGCTGATGGTTTTAACACACCTACTGGATTACTTATTACATCACAGGTATCCACCCCCCATCCCCACTAGACAGCATCATCAACATCTCACTTTTAAAACTCCATTATATAGTGTAGATTGCTTAGATTATAATTATGGCAGATCTGAGTATTGCTACTTTTTTGTCTAATCAACACATTCAACATTCAGGTGTGATATCGTTCCCAACATGTGTAACTTGTTAAATCATTGCAGCATGGAAGGTGGTTTAATCCATCACTGTTTGTATCAAAGTAGGGGCTGTTGGTTGGGTAAAGTGAATGTGTATAATACATTCACTTGAACTTATATTATCGATTTTATCACTATCTCATGTTTCGTTTAATCTTTATTGTCTCTCTTTTCTTTTTGCTTCTTTTTGATATCTCATCTCGTGTGTGTATGTGTGTATGCGTTAACTCAACTCACTGAAGGATGTAGCTCAAAAAATGGAAGAATCCTACGGTGCATTGGGCAGCATTTTCAGAAATGGTTAGTTTACAAAGTTTACTTCTGTATATAGCTGATATGGATGCTTAACGAATAGTCGATGTTGTTGTTGGTGTGTTTTTTTCTTTTTTTTCCAAATTGACAGTGATTCACCGTTTACATTTCAGGAAGGTTTTTATAAACATATCAGCGTTATTCATTTGCTTCTTTGTTTGTCTGTCTGTTGGCCATCTTATCATGATCTTATTAGGTCATTTCATTATAACAGTAGCAACAACCATAACAAAAAAGGAGAAGATCAATACAAACACGAATCATATTTCGTTCGCCTATGTAAATATTTGTTTGTTAGTCTGTTTTATTCCAGATCTCTGTCTCTCTGTCCTCTCTGTGTCCTTCTCTTCAGTGGGTGTGTATGTTGTTTATATATATTCGCATCAATCTGGGTGTATTCTAATTTTTGTAGGCAAATGTATTATTCATTTAGTTGTGGGTTTGTTGTTGGCTGATATTAACTGATGACATAGCTAAACAGACATTCACCTGATTAGTGGAAAACGATGTTCAGTGTTGATTGGCTTCCAACTGTTCTCCTCCCTGATATTGGCTTGTCAGGTAATCGAATTTGCCCTTCCTTTTTTCCTTGTTAAATTGTGTGAATGCATACATTCACATTGAGGACATAGGGAAGTATGCCAGCTGGAATCCACCTGCTATAGACTGTGACTGTTACATTTTTATTTAGTATATTGGTTGAAAGTATCTGACTGACTGACTGACTGATGGATCAACTTAGAGTATGGTGTGATGTAGATTGCCACAACTCACATGGAGCACAAGAGCAGAGAAAACGGAAATCGACGATTAATACAATGGACAAATACATCTGTGATGAAGATAAGAAGAATTCAATGAATATAAGTGAAGTTGTACAGGATGTACAGGAATATGATGAGGTGTGAATGCATCGTGAACCCCATCGTGAACAGTTTTGTTTTATTTGTCTAGCATCCTTGAGAACGCTAACCGAGTAGTAGTCTTCACCTACCTAAATGGTTGAGATCAGTAGTCGATAACTCTAAATGTTGTGCAGCGTGTTCATCTGCAAGGATTATGTGATGTGTTTACTGCAAATCAACGAACGAGACACTGAAGTCAAACAGACTTACTCTCATCTGTGTGTTTTCTGTAGGTCAGTTACATAAGAACGCTAATGAATATGAATGGTTGTTGTCCCTTCATACAACAATCCCCAATGCAAAGTTATGCGCCCCTGCATTACTTGTAGAGAGAGGTAATGTCATGTGTGCAGATACTTTCCAACACAAATTATTTTTAACACTTTTCCGCTCATATTGTAAGTAACTCAAATATATGACTAGGTTTGATGATTTATCAGGTCAATGGCTTATTTTTCCAAGTTTCTAACTGACAATCCCCGCCACCCCTCCACCTGTAATTCAAGTTGTGACACAACTTCTGTGACCTCCTTATTTTTTTGTGCGCAATTCTTAATCTGTGCATTTACAGAATATTCACAGAATAATCTAAACTCGTCTCTTAAATACTTAAGGAGATTATAGAGAATTGTAGACTGATAGTGATATTAGGGATGTCTGTGTGTGGGGGGGAGGGTGTATTTCTTCTAAACACAAAATCATCATTTTGTCACGTAGATTTTGTTTGTTTTTTTGGTTTGTGGGAACCCGAAAGCAAATCACTAGAGGTGCAATAAAAGTGAATCGATTGAGAATATCAAGGAAACAGAGTTTTCGAAGAAGAAAAAGGAGAAGCGGAAAATTACGAGAATAAAAGTCTACTGACTGTCTATCCCTTTCAATAGGCGTACAGTTGTGTGATTTGTCTAAGATTTAACTTGCTTGACTTGTATTCAAAAACATTATGCATCATCTTGGCGCATATTGAGTGTTGGTTAGTCTTTTGTAGACCTTTTGATCGATCACATGAAGACAGTTGAACATTTATTAAAATAGTCGAAAACAGTGCGTCGGAGGCATAGCGATTAGGACGCTCGTCTAAGAAAACTTGAAACAACTGAAACTTTTGCGCTGATGGGGTGTGATGATTTGAAGTCTAAATATTTATTGGAGTGGGTTTTCTTCCTGAATATGGATATAATAAAATGTCCGTTTTCCCTCCTCTTAACTAGGCAGTCTAGAAATGGTAGTTCACCGATGTCTGATTCTGCTTTCGATGTTAACTGGATACTGGAATATAGATTGTTTATTTTCTCCAGGAATGAACTGTGTAGATCTCGTTTTAGTGCTACAAAAGTATCATCCACATATCTTAACCATATTTTAGGAGTAAGTATGCTTGAAAAGATATTTTTGAATTTATTCATGTAAAGGTCGGCGACTATTGGGGAGACTGGTGAACCCATAGCAACACCATTTGTCTGTCTATATAAACTCCCTCTAAATGTAAAATAATTACTTTCTAGACAGAATTTTAAGCTCTTAATTATTTCACTGGTGTCCAGTGGACATCTTTGTGACAGTGTTGTATCTGATTCTAGTAGACTGGAAATTATATCGAGACTTTCGGTAATAGGGATGCTAGTATATAGTGAGTTAATATCATAGCTTACCAGAATGTCTTCTTTATCAATTTCTCAGTGTTCTCTTTGAGATTTGAAATCATATGAATTTTTTACAATATTTTGAGTGTCCTTTTGTAGTGGTTGTAGAATAGAGAGTAAGTATTTAGAAATGCCCAAATGTTTTCAAACCGTTAAAAGTGAACTTGGTTTGGACATATTATAAGTCAATGTCTATTTAGCTCACCTCTTAACTCTTTGTTATATATATGCTGAGATTTTGTAAATTCCGGTTTAATAATACTTTGAGAAAGCTATTAGCATTAAATAGCGAAACGTCAGTAAAACAACAATATCGTTCTGTTTTTCATTCATTGGGAAATACAAAAAAACCTTTATTATAATGAAGACATTGACTTATTAGTGGAAAACGACGTTCAGTGTTGGTTGGCTTCCAGTTGTTCTCCTCCTTGACATTAGTTTGTGAGGTGATTGAATTCACCCTTCATTTTTCGTTGTTAAAATGTGTGAATGCATACATTCACATTGAGGGCATAGGTGAAGTTTGCCAGCTGGAATCCACCTGCTATAGACTATGACTGTTACATTTTTATTTAGTATATTGGTTGAAAGTATCTGACTGACTGACTGACTGATGGATCAACTTAGAGTATGGTGTGATGCAGATTGCCACAACTTGCATGGAACACAAGAGCAGAGAAAACGGAAATAGACTATTAATGCAATGGACAAATACATCTGTGATGAAGATAAGAAGAATTCAATGAATATAAGTAAAGTTGTACAGGATGTACAGGAATATGATGAGATGTGAATGCATCGTGAACCCCATCGTGAACAGTTTTGTTTGATTTGTCTAGCATCCTTGAGAACGCTAACCGAGTAGTAGTCTTCACCTGCCTACGTGGTTGAGATCAGTAGTCGATAACTCTAAATGCTGTGCAGCGTCTTCATCTGCAAGGATTATGTGGTGTATTTTACTGCAAATCAATGAACAAGACATTGAAGTCAAACAGACTTACTCCCATCTGTTTGTGCCTGTAGATCAGTTGCATAAGAACGCTAATGAATATGAATGATTGTTGTCCCTTCATACAACAACCTCCAATGCAAAGTTTTGCACCCCTGTATTACTTGCGGAGAGAGGTAGTGTCATGTGTGCAGATTACTTTCCAACACTTTTAACACTTTTCCGCTCATATTGTAAGTTACTATACAACTCAAATATATGACTAGGTAGGTTTGATGATTTATCAGGTCAATGGCTTATTTTTCCAAGTTTCTAACTGACAATCCCCGCCACCCCTCCACCTGTAATTCAAGTTGTGACCTCCTTATTTTTTTGTGCGCAATTCTTAATCTGTGCATTTACAGAATATTCACAGAATAATCTAAACTCGTCTCTTAAATACTTAAGGAGATTATAGAGAATTGTAGACTGATAGTGATATTAGGGATGTCTGTGTGTGGGGGGGAGGGTGTATTTCTTCTAAACACAAAATCATCATTTTGTCACGTAGATTTTTTTTTGGTTTGTGGGAACCCGAAAGCAAATCACTAGGTGCAATAAAAGTGAATCGATTGAGAATATCAAGGAAAAGAAGCGGAAAATTACGAGAATAAAAGTCTACTGACTGTCTATCCCTTTCAATAGGCGTACAGTTGTGTGATTTGTCTAAGATTTAGCTCGCTTGACTTGTATTCAAAAATATTATGCATCATCTTGGCGCATATTGAGTACTAGTTAGTCTTTTGTAGACCTTTTGATCAATCACATGAAGACAGTTGGACATTTTTTATATAATAGTCGAAAACAGTAGGGTTTATTATCGCATACAGATAAAAATGATGATACTTAAATCTACTAGGTACAATAAGCAATGCGACCCAGCGTTCATAGCGGCGTTGCTTTTGATCCTTCGATATCGGCTCTTCCTATCATTTTGAAGCAGAAATCACCAAGCGTTGGATTGTTCACCCACTAATAGGGAACGTGAGCTGGTTTTAGACCGTTGTGAGACAGGTTAGTTTTGATCTACTAATGAGCACAGTAACCAGTGAAGTACAATCTCGCCGTGGCTATGGTAATCCTGTTTATAGTACGAGAGGAACCACAGGTTCAGACAATTGGTATATTTGCCTGGTCGAAAGGCCAAGGGTGTGGAGCTACACCATCTGAGGGATTTAGACTGAACTCCTTTTATTTGCAACGGTACATTCCGTATCCGCCTCCCCGGACCACTGCGTTGGTAGCACAGCGGTAAGGACGCTCGCCAACCATGCACATGGTCCAGGGTTCGAGCCTCGGACGGCACACTCCCTCTCCCGCTGAGTCAGAAATGAAGGTGGTAAAGAGGAAAGGTTGAGTATGAGGTGGCTAGCGACCCCATCCTGTAAAAAATAAACACCACTGCTACAGAAACTTCAAGCCAATAGCTTGGAGCCCTTTGTTCCACTGGGGAACGTGAAGGAAAAAAAATCTTCGAGGAGACAATACGTTTCGTGAGATAATGGAACATGCAGTGTGCTGCGGTCAAGGGATTTTGTGGCTCATCTTTGCGATATCACTTGGTGAACAATGAACCGCTAGGTGCAGTGTGGCACTTTTACTGTTCAACAACTGGTTAGTACAAAAAAAGACAACATAATAGTTGTTTGTCAGTTGTTTGTGTGAGTACTTTGAAGTAAGGACAGCAAATAATATATATATGTAAAATGCTTCGAAGTTTATTTCTGTTTCCAACTTTTTGTCCGTTGGTGTATTATCTCGAATTCACCTTTTGTGTTTCTGATTCCATTGATTTTAGGTTCACGACATACATTTTTCTCATCTCAAGTACTACGCTATGCAGATTTGTATTCATTTTCTTGTATCAATCTAATCTACTATCCATTGTGTTATATGTTCCGTGCACCTACTATGCTTATGCCGCATGAGTCAACTGTGTCGCATGGAGATTCACCGAAAGACAGTTTCTCAGATTTGGATTTTGTGCCTTGTGGAATTCGTCGACGTACTAAAATTGGTAAATATTGATGTAATATTTATGTCTTCCAATCCTCTAGGCTGTTTGTGTGTGTGTGTGTCTGTGTATGTTTTGTCACTAGTTGGTTTGCACTGTGTGCGGGTGCAATGTGCTGCAGGATACAAAGTTTTTCGTCTGTGCTGAAATGCAGTTGTATCTCATGTGAAGCGTTCCTCGTTGTTTCGTTGCTTGGAACAGTTAGTAGCCATAATGAATTCGATTAGCTTTATTATAAGACAAAGTTTACCTGAAAAGTGCTGTGTATTATTTGCACAATACATCTCGAAGAATCTGATCACACATACATACCCACTCGTGAATTCAGTTTGTGTGAAATTGGAAAAAGATGAAGGATCAAATAAATAAAAATAAACCACCAGCATGGAATTTAAGCGTAAGCAGCACAAATTAGTTGATACCAGTGGTTGGAAAATAATCGGATGAGGATTACCGGTTGATCGTGTTCACAATTTATACATTTCGAGGTGAAATCTCACCACAGTGTCCTTTCGAAAACTGAAACTCTATCCAGATGACAATATCATAAGTGGCAGAAAGGAAGACCCCCTAGTGCTTATTAGCCAGACGAAGTGATGTAAACACCGATTACTTCCTCACATCAGTCGTTAAATGTTCAGGTTTTTGAGGGAAACTCTGTGTGTTGAAATTTCACCTCGTCGAACTGTGAAAATTTGAAATTGCTAATTTGATCGAATGTGTATCCCTTGTTCATCCAAGTGGCTAACTGGACAGACTATAGGCGGTTTGAAGTAAATCGGCTTTCTGAGATGAGTAATACAAAGTAGACCGGTGATGAGCTTGTCGGAAAACAAGAGAAATGGTCGTTCATTGTGTAGGTCACTTCGATCATCTGTGAATGGTATCCAACTGCTCACGTCAGCCAGTCAGTCGGTCTGTCAGTCAGTAGTACATTACATAAGTGTAGCAATAAATTGTTCTGCACATACAACGGAGGCATGATTTTTCGTGTGGCTGTCGCCTCAGCATATTTGAGGATGCCCAGTTTGTCTGTTTTTGTGCATAATATTGAGGATTGTTTTGACATCAATCGTATGCTGCTGCATATGCCTTTCACCACTTACGACGTTTGTTGTCTGTCTCCTGCCTGCGTTTATCGACGTTTGAATTGTTTTTCAAGGCATTCATGAAGACAGATGTACACTACACTGTTCTTTTCTGCTGGTCTAGTTTTCGTATTGGTGTTTATTATGTGATAGTACTGCTTGCTGTCTGCTCAACAGTAATTAATATTGAGAGACTAGCAATGTGTGAAATATAATCTAATCAGTGCTTATGTATTTCTTTCTGTGTTCACAATGAGTCTATGTAGAAACTATTCTACCTAGAGATGTTGACAGACATTTTTAAGAGGTGCTTAAGGCAATACCTCTATAATCTACTGAAATGTACATTTGTCTTGCCAGTTCAGCTGCACTCAAGTGTATGCTGTCGGTTTTTTCTAGTAAGTAGTGTGAAGTATGCGGTAGGAATATGAATAGTTGTCTTAAATGAAAAGTCGCATGGAAAGTACAGTGAAAAGGACGGTAGATAATGAGGAAATCAGCCTTGCGTAACATTAAATATTAAGTTGTTGCTGAAGTAAGCACCACTTATTGGAAAGAATGACATTTGAGGAGTAAATACTACGGTACCTAAGAACTGGCAGCTGATATCGCTGAAACAATTATTTGATTGTCATTAAATCTGTACCATCTGTCCCGTCCTTCGAAGTGAGGACGGGAATGGGGCAAGACTGCCTACTATCGCCAATGATTTTTCTGATTGCAGTAGATTGGATAATGCGACAAACAACGGGCAATGAGGAAACAGACATAAAATGGTTCCACACAAAAAGAGACTTAGAGGATCTGGACTTTGCCGATGATATATGTCTGATTTCCCACAAACTGGAAGATATGCAAGTGAAAAGCAACAATTGGGCAGAAGATGCATCCAGAGAAGATAGGACACAACTTCAGGTGAACATAAAGAAAACAGAGGTAGGCGATGAAGATTCCTGGCCAACACCACCAGCAACAACAACAACAACAGTCAGCCAGAATAAATGGGAGGAACCTGAAAGAAACGACCTCCTTCACCTACCTACCCACCTACCTGGGAAGCATCGGCTGACGGAACTGACGCGGATATCAAAGCAGCGAGAATCGGGAAAGCAAAGCAAGACAAGCTTTCATTACTCTCAAGTCTGTGTGGAGGTCAACAGCACTCAGCATCAAAATGAAAATGAGATCCGGATTTTCAACTCAAATGTGAAGTCAGTCAGTGCTGCTTACTGCACGGATGAGAGACTTGGCCAGCGCGTCATGAAGAGCACCTCAAACAAACTGCAGAACTTCATTAACAGCTAGCTGTCTTCGCTCAATGCTTCGCTCAAGATCAGATGGCTGGCCGGAAAAGATCAGCAACAGGGATCTCTGGCATTGAGCTAACCAACTCAGTAGAAACCGATTGTGAAACAAATAGTCAGGAAGAAATGGCGATGGATTGGCTGCTCATACTCTGAGGAAACAAACCATCAAGGGACATCACAAGCATTGAAGGGCATCACTCGATCGGAACCCGACTGAATGGGAAGCGTCGAGTTGGTCGTCATTGTGTGGGTGGGGTGACTTGGAGGAGGTCGTGTGAAGAGGAGATGAAAGCGTGTGGGCAGACATGGAGCGGGGTGAAAACGTTGGCAGAAAACCGGAGGGAATGGAGACGCGCGGCTGAAGCCCTGTGTTCCTCTAGGAATTAAAGGATATAATAATAATAATAAATGGAAAGTGACGTCATCAATAGTTTGGATGTTGAGATGCTACGTAGGATATCCAGTCGGATCAAGTTGTTGTTTCAGCAGGCCATTTCATAAGCCTTCCATTCTGTACTTTATTCTCTAGGCAACTAACAAGCATCAGAAGTTATGTTTGTGTAGTTGTTTATCTCTGCTGTGAAGTCCAGTTGTTATTCATTCCTTCAATGTTTCAGACAAACTTTGTCATGTTCATTGTCGGTTCACACGTACATGACTGACTCTACTGTGTTGTCTAGGCTGCCATTCTTCTATGAAGTTTGTCTTTTGTCATAGAGGTTTTTTTCATATTTCTCTGAAGTTTAATAAAAAACGAATATGCGTATCATTGAGATTATTTTTTAACAATAATACCGTTATCTAATTGTCTATTTGTTCACAATTGTTGAAGGTCTTACCTCAGTGACATCGGTTATACGTGATGGTAGTTCTTCTTCGTCCATAGAAAATGAACATTATGCAAATAATAATAAAATAATAATAATAATGACAATAATAATGTTGGTCTCGGTGATCAATCAGGGAATTTATCAGATTTTTCAGACTAAAGGTAAGTCAACTTACTCCAATGTGATTATATTCTTTTAAAAGGAAGCTAATTTATATGCGTGTGTGTTTATTTATCTGATGATGTCTCCTTGTCACACAGGCCTTTTATTCTTCGTGTTTTTTTATGCTGAAGTGGACTTACTGATAAAATATCCCTCTCTTTATTATCTACTAATTTTTACATCTTTTGACGAACTGTTTCGCATATGTCATTTTACGCCGTCTCTGGCTTAGTAGACGTAATATCCGGCTGGCTATCGACCAAAGGGCGAGTGTACTGCTCAGAAGCCGGCTCCGTCCTCCTTTATGGCTGACTGTGAGACCTGGCTGGCCATTGAGAGTGGAAGACAAGAGAAGTCTGGCTAGCTGTCTTTGATCATAGATATCTGCGTTATATCTCCGTGTGAAGTGGTGTAATAGGGTGAGCAATATTGAGGTTAGGTGTCGAGTGCTAGTTAGGCGAGAGGGGAAATCAATCGACGACGCTGTGAAGCTACATCGACTGAGATGGTTAGGATATGTGTTACGTATGCCTACTCATCACCTTCCTCGACGGGCAACGTTAGCTGATGTAGGGTCAGGTTGGAAAAGAGCTAGCGGCTGTCAAACCAAAACATGGCCGCATCAGTCAATGAAATCTACAACAGTTAGTCTAAGTCACGTGGAAAGGTGGAGACTTCCTGACTGGTTGGGGTCCTTGGGACGCTAAAAAACAATGGTTGGAAACAATTGGTGACATGGCCAGCTCAAAATCGTTCTCAATGGCTGGTGCAGATGCATCCACTCCTTGTGACTTATGATTTCCAATGAAACTATATTGTTCTTCGTTATTACTATTCTTTTGTCTCACACCTCTGTTCACTGTCTCTATTATGCCTTTTTTCTTCTTTCTTCTCTTGCTTTGTGTGCTGCATGAATGATGGAGTTTATCTGAAAACTGTAATGTGTTTGTGTAATACATTTCGAACAGTCTGATCACATATGTGTTTACCAGCCAAATCAAATTGCATGGAAAATGAAAAACCACCTAAACTATACAAAAAGATAACGCACTGATATTGATGTTTTCATAAATCTGAAGACTTCAACGAGGATATTATTCACCCTCTCCATTTGGCTGAAAACGCCAGTCAGAGATTTCATAGATTGATTCCGTATATTCTTCTGACCGCCTGAAAGTCTTTCTCGACTTAATCCTACGTCAGCTAACATTGTTTGTTGAGGAGACAGCCGGGATTCGGTAGGCGTAAAACATGTAGCCAACTCGGTCTATGAAGCTTCACACGCTCATCGACTGACTTCCCCTCTTTGCCTAATCAACACTGTCTGCACCTAACCCCAGTACTGCTCACCACATTATATACCACTTAAGACTTGAGACAGAACTCAGACACCTATGACCTAAGACGACACCCAGTAGTCAGGCTCTTCATATCTTCCACTTTCAATGGCCATGTTTCACAATCACAAAGGTGGACAGAGCCAAATGCTGGTCAGTATACATGTCCTATGTTCGATAGCCGGATATCACATTTAAGCGAGAGATGATGTAGGTTGACGAAAGCCAGAGGAGCTTTTCGTTTGCGTGCTAAGATTGTTTACTAAGTTGGATAATGCTTAATACTACACAACGTTTTTGGTAATATGATGAGATAAGGATTACCAAGGTAGATGAAGGGTAAACTGATGAATTCCCTTCTCACACACAGTAGTAAAGGCGGGGGCGGATGTGGAACCTATTTTCACGAATAGCTATTGACTCAGCGCATTGTGCAATCACATCACAATGTTCAGATAAACCTTGTCTTCTAGTAACGCTATTCAAACTCTTAAGAACCATATAACAACAGCAGAAAGCCACTGACAGTGTACCTTAGGCAACTAAAGTTTGTGAAGGACTACAGAACTGTCCAATTAATTGCAGTCGAATGTGTGGTTGTCTATCCTAGTTAGATTAGTCAGAATTTAACAGTCTTAATTTTAAGCATCAAAATGAACTAATTAGATTTATTTATAATGTTTTTGTTTTTGTAAAACTAACTTATTGAGTTCACTTATCTTTCAAAATGTTACTTGTTTATTAATACACAAATATTTTTAAGTATTGTTCTTTTGTGTGTGTGTGAGCTGTTTATAAGATTTTGTATGATTATTGAACTTGAACTGTTATTCACTTTGTTATTTTGATCGTGACATCGAATTGGCATGTTTGTTTGTTTGTTGTTGTTGTTCTTGATTGTGATTCCAGTGACACCGCATGCCAAAAGTGGTGAATAACTTTCATTAGATGCGATGAGATGAGATTAACTCGAGTTGATCATTGTACATTTTACATGGATTATTTATATACATGGATGTTTTGTTATTATTATTATTATTGGTAAATGTTATTGTAACGAAGTCACAGTCATTGATTGTTAATTTTACAAAATGTGTGAGCAACCCGACATTGTACTACATTTCATCTAGCTATCATGAGTAAAGTAAGTTGAGCCGACATTAGATACGTGTGTTCAAAGGCATTACTATTCGGTGTTCAATTTATTTTATTGTGTTGATAAAAATGTTTTACGTTACATTGAGAAGATGGTAAACGATTATCAATGTATTCAATGTTGGCAATAGTTTCTATTTAATGTGTATAAGAACAAAAAATATTTATACAGATGGTTTTAGCATTAAATATATTATAAACATTTAAAATATAAAAAAGCGGGCTGTATACCACCAACCATGCGTCGGTGGCACAGCGGTAGAATGCTCGTCAACCACGCCTCATGTGGTTCGGGATTCGACGGCGGGCCAACGTATTCGTTTACCTCACTAAGCCAGTAATAAGACTGGTAAAGAGAGAAAGGTTGGACCTGGGGCCTGTTAAAAAATTAACACCACTGCTACTCATACTTCAAAGCTTTAGCTTGAAGGCGGCCTATGTTCCACGTGGATTATTATTATTGTTTCCTTTAATTCCTAGAGGAACGTAGGGCTTCAGTCGCATGTCTCCATCGCGTTCGGTTTTCTGCCAACGTTTTCACCCCGCTCCATGTCTGCCCACACGCTTTCATCTCCTCTTCACATGACCTCCTCCAAGTCAATTTAGCACTGACGACCAACTCGCTGCTTCCATTTTGGGTTCCACTCGAGCAATGGCTTGTCTAGTTTCCTGTCACTTGTTTGTTTGTCTCCTCAGAGTATGGCCAGCCAATCCATCTCCATTTCTTCCTGCTTATTAGAGTTATGTGGTGAAATAATTGTGAAACAGTTATTAACACCTATTCTGTGACCTGCCATAAATTAATAAGTGCTTTGCAATGGATGATGATAGATTTCGGAATCGTTCCAAACTGATTTCAGCTTAATTCAGCTGTGTCTTACCTTGGCAATCCTAGTTTTAACACGCTGACCTTTGACATCTGAGGTTCAGACAGTCCTGTCTAGATAAGTGGAAGAAGTGACCTCTTTGAAATTCATGTCGTTGATATTGATTGGTGTTTGTTTTTATTGACTGGCTTATGACGTAACGTACTCTCGTTTACATAAAATTGTCAGATATTTGTGTAAGGTAATAAGGTGAGCAATATTGAGGTTAGTTGTCGATTGCTAGTTAGGTGGGAGGGGAAATCAATCGACGAGGCTGTGAAATTACATCGACTGAGATGTTTGGGACATGTGTTATGTATGACTAGTCATCGCCTTCCTCGACTGATGGGAAAAGTTAGCTGGTATAGGGTCAAGTTTGAAAATAACCCATGGTGGTCAAACCAAATCATGGCCTCACCAGTCAATGAAATCCATAAAAGTTAGTTTAAGATGGCCACGTAAGGAGGTATGGACTTTCTAGTTGGAGTCCTCGGGACGGTGAAAACCAATGGTTGGAAACAATTGGTGACATGGCCGGCTCAAAATCGTTCTCAATGGCTAGCGCAGATGCATCCACTCCTTGTGACTAATTATTTCCAATGAAACTATAATGTTCTTCGTTATTACTATTCCTTTGTCTCACACCTCGGTTTACTGTCTCGATTATTCATTTCTTCTACTTTCTTCTCTTGATTTGTGTGCTACAACATGAAGGAAGTGTGGAGACTTGAACTGTTGCACATCGGTGCAAATTTCTATGTTGAAAACAGACAGACGGATATTTGAGTCTTACTTTCACCTATAACCAAAATGAAAGTATCCCTTAGTCAAATTGGTCATGGTGGGTATTTTGAAATTATTCACAACTGTACCTACTTTTGCTTTCCAAGGAATGAGTTATTGATATACATGATGAATATATATATAAAGGTTCATTTTGAAGTGAGTAAAAGGAATACACGGTGCATAACACCACTGGCTGGTCAAATAATCACGACTATTTATCGAAATAGGTTCATGCGACACTGTGTAAGAGCTAGAGTAATTCACAATTGATTCACAATAAGATAGTAATTAGGATGGCTTTCAGTTTCTTTTAGAAATTATGAGTAGTGTTACTCTTCGACGGAAGTTCAATAGACAGTTCGCATAGATTGTAGATGACAACAAACTTTGTCATTGATTGATAATCTTTACATATTCCCATTTTTTAATATTAGAACAAGACATGCAAGCGAACAATATTGTTGTTTTCAATTAGATCTTCATCAGGATTTACTATAATTTGCATAGATTTATATATAGAAAATGTTTAACGAATCACGGTGATTTTGTGGATCAATTATTAATAGTAACAATGTGGTAGATGTCTTGAACGTAGATAATAACAATGATTATAATGATAGAAAAGTAATGATAATAATGAGGTTCATGCAGGTGGCGATAAGAATAAAAAAAAGGTAGTAATATGTGTGTGTATATGTAGACAATTCAATAAATAAATGAATTAGGTCAAATCTTTAAAGTTACGCAATACTAAAGGTAGGTGAAGTGGACGTATATACAATAATTTGGAATTTTCTTGAGTAGTCCTTTATTTATATATATATAATTTCATCTTTTTGGGTACATGTTTGTATGTTAGATGAATGACTAAATCTACTGCTGCTTGTTAGTTCAATATGCATCTGAATATCCTTTCCTTTCGCGAAGATTGTTTTCGTCACATGACCCCCACCCAACCACCCACCCATCCTTTCAGTCAAAAGAAAATATTTGAAGAAAGCTGTGAATATAAATGGGACAATATGATTTCAGACATAATTGATGTTGGCCAATAGAATATACATACTTCTTCATTTACCCTACAACCCGCATAAACCCTATTGGGTGGGTACATACATGGATAACACGTATTCTGCATTATAGACAGAAAAATTAATATTACATGAGACTCATATATGTAAATGAAGCCATAAAACTGTGTGAGTGCCTTGATATGATTATGAGTGGGAATTATTTGAGCTTGAAACGTGGTCATCAGTACATATTACTTACTGTATAACAACACTGAGATTTTATCAAAATGAAATTTTCTCCATAACTAAATATCATACAAGTACGAAGGAAAAGTAAGATAAGAAAAGATGGGTGGAGAGTTTTGATTAGAATTTATCTAGGCGAAGGTAGGAAACAAACTTCTTTTGTAGGCAAAGACGGAACAGAATTCGAATCCGTCTTTTACAAATAGACGAAGCAATGGGAATTAACTCGAGAGAATCATCCTAGTCTTTGCATACAACAAAAGAAGTTTGTTCTACGTTTGTCTCTCCCTTGGCCTAGGTGAATTCTATTCAAAACCCTCCCATCCTTTCTTATCTTAAGTTTGCTTCGTAACGTTATGATATTTATTATTTAAATTCTGATTGTATATACGTCCACTTCACCTACCTTTAGTATTGCGTAACTTTAAAGATTTGGCCTCATTCATTTATTTATTGAATTGTCTACATATACACACACATATTACTACCTTTTTTATTCTTATCGCCACCTGCATGAACCTCATTATTATCATTACTTTTCTATCATTATAATCATTGTTATTATCTACGTTCAAGACATCTACCACATTGTTACTATTAATAATTGATCCACAAAATCACCGTGATTCGTTAATTTTTTTATAAATTTATGCAAATTATAGTAAATCCTGATGAAGATCTAACTGAAAACAACGACACTGTTCGCTCATTTTCCTTGTTTTTATTGAGTGATAAGTATTGTAGTGATCTGTGGTGCTTACGTTTGTTTTTCTTTTATTTATACAATATGTCTGTTTTTTTTTACCTGACTTCTTATAGATTTGAAGCGCAATCAAATGTCTTACAATTCATTCTAATAATTGTTAAGACAGTAGAAGAGAATAATTCAGAAAGATGGAACGCTCGCTTGTTTGTTTGCTTGCTAGAGATAGATACTGACAATCAAAGTGTGAAATTTCATTCATGCCTGTCATCTAGTCGAGATATCTATATATATATATATAACCTGGAATATACTCACACTCACTTACTCATACACTTGTTGCCTCATTTCTTACTTCTTATATTATTTTCTGTTGCCGTTGTTTTTGGTGTTGGTGGTGGTCGTGGTGGTGTTTTTTCTTCAATTGCTCATGCTACTTACAATCAGTTTTTTGTAATTGTAATTGTTATATTGATGAATTAGTTAAATGATATATTGAAACACTATTTAATATGTTTACACTACACTACTTTCTCACTTTCGTTTTGCTCTTTCCTGTCATACATATATATGCATATATATTTAATATTGAAATGAAATTGAAACAGATGAATAGACTTTCAAGTTTCAGAATCTTATTTAAGTAGTCTATGTCTTTTTTTGTGCTGTATCTTTAGTAGCTGAAGTAGTAGCTGTTGTAGAATTTTTCGTAATGTATACTTTAGATAATTTGACAAGGTGAAGAAGGCAACAACAACAATAAAAAGGGAAGAGTACTAATTTTATTTACAATACTGCTGCTTACTCAACCACCTAGCCAGCCAGCCCACCAGTCAACCAACCAGCCAGTCAGCTAGCCCGCCAGCTTTAATAAAACAAGTACACTCAACTAAATTACAAGATTTTTAATGTGTACCTGTCATAAGTTACTAATTCGGATAAACTGCTGATTATCTTGTTAATTTTAATTTCTGTTAGTCAAGTTCCTCCGCCTCTTCGTCTTCTCCTTGTTGGTTTGGCCTTCTGTGTTACTACAAAAAATAAAATACTGCTGATGTTGTTGTTGTCGTTCAACAACCAATAAGTTACGTAATCAGTTCATTACAACATTTCATTTGATTTCATTGTTTTATGCAGCATTGGAATGTTGTTTGATGCTATTGTTGCTATTCTGTTTTGTTTTTGATTACGGTTTGTTTACGCATTGTGATTTGCTCATTACATATATATATATACATATATATATTACTTTATTTTCTATAATTAGTAATAAGTAGTAGAGTTACACGATGAAGAGATCAGGGGAGAATTCGCTTCATGCTGAACACTGTCGTTTATTAGATTATTACTACTACTACTACTACTACTACTACTAATACTACTGATAAGAGGCATAAATTAATTTTTAATTTGTTATATTATTATTCCACATTATTCAGAATTTTTATTTTATTCACATGTGTTTTGTGATTATTCAAGCGGAAAAAATAAAAGTAGGCGATTCCCACTTGACCCGCCCCCCCTTGATCAGCATCTCACTCTTATTTTGTTTGTTGTAATCTTTTAATCGAAGTTTATCTTATCATGATGATAACGATGTGGTGGTAATATTTGTTTATTTATTTATTTGTTTATGTGTATTGCTTACACACACACATATGTACGAATGAATCAGATCGGTATAATTGTTTTTTCCTTTAACTATTACCACTACGATTAGTATTACTAATACTACGTTTATTATTATTATTAATGGTAATAATAATAGTATTGATTTCCTATAGTTTGATTCAATCTAATGTTGATGATGCTGACAGTGATGATTATGAAGATGGTGATGACAATGTGCAGCAGATATTTATATTACTATTTATCTTACTATTATTATTATTGATATTATAATCATTTGAAATAAAGAATATTCACAAAGAAAAATTGTGTTTTTCATTGATCGTCTTTATTTATTTTTATTATTATTTCTTTTAATTCCTAGAGGAACATAGGGTTTCAGTCGCACACGTCTCCATTGCGTTCGGTTCTCTGCTAGAGTTTTCACCTGGCTACACCACGTCTGCCCACACGCTTTCATCTCCTTTTCATATGACTCCCCTCCAAGTCATCCCATCCTCGCACTGACGACCAACTTGCCGCTTCCCTTTCGGGTTCCACTCGAGTCATGGCTGTTGGTTCGCTCATTGCCAGAGATCCCTCCCTGTTGCTGATCTTTTCTGGCTGGCCGGCCATCTGATCTTGAGTAGTATTGAGCGAAGACAGCTAGCTGTTAATGAAGGTCTGTAGTTTGTTTGAGGTGCTCTTTATGACGCATTGGTCAAGACTCTGATTCGTATAGTAAGTAGCACTGACTGACTTCACATTGGAGTTGGAAATCTGGATCTTATTCTCATTTTTATGCTGAGGAGTGCTGTTGACCTCCTGCACACAGACTTGAGAGTAATGAGAGCTTGTTTTGCTTTCCTGATTCTCGCTGCTTTTATATCCTCGTCAGTTCCGTCAAACGATGCTTCCCAGGTAGGTGGGTAGGTAAAGGAGGTCGTTTCTTTCAGGTTCCTCCCATTTATGCTAGATGATTGTTGTCTGTTGTTGTTGCTGTTGGTGTTGGTGTTGGTTAGGAATCTTCATCGCCTACCTCTGTTTTCTCTATGTTCATCTGAAGTGAAGTCCTATTTATGATGCCTCTTTTGTCTACTTGTCCAGATCCTCCAAGTTTTTCGTTAGGGTCCATTTTATGTCTATTTCCTCATTGCTCGCTGTCTGTCGCATTATCCAATCTACTGCAATCACTGATCATCTTTAAGGCATCTGAATACAAAATAGGATTTTGACCTTGGATTGTGTTATCAGTTATCAGAACCAATTAAAATTTAGGGAGTACTGAACAGCTAGTTCATCAGCCTAGTTTGGGACTCATTAGCGGTAAGCACTCACTAGATGTTACGAAACCATGAACTTCCGGTTACAAGGTAACCTCGTATGTACTGTTTAGGTACGTGGACCTGATTCAGTGGCCAGTCCATGAATTCCATCGATTCGTGATACATTTAGCGTGACCACCAACTTACGTCATCAGTGGGAACTGCATCTTCACTCCCGCTAACTGGATGGATCGCACTGGTGACGACTTCTCACCAAAAAGAACTCCAGGCATCTTCGGCCTGTGCACCCAGTCACTAGCGAGCATTATGGGTCATTGAATCGGGTTCTAGTGGCTGAATGATATACGAGCTTACCTAGTAACCGGAGTGTCCTGGTTACGAAACCCAGTGAGTGTGTACTGCTGATGCAGCCTAAACTAGGTCGGAACAGCTATCCCGTACTCCAATGATGGTTTCCGGTCGTTCTCTAACTGATATCGAAACCAACAGAATCCCTAAAAATTGATTCTTGAAAATTAGCACATTCCTTTTTCGTTGCGTTTTCTAAATTCTTCTGTAATTGGTTCTACGACTGCCGCCACCTGTAGGCTTTCATTTCCTTCTCACATGTGATGTGTCCATTTCACCTTCGGACCGAGATCAAACGCGTTGTTTTTTACATCCGTGTTTCACTCGACTACCTGTCGGGCGTGTGATGTCATTCAAAAGTCTTATCAGTGTGCGTGTCAGATCCATCTCTATTTTTTTGTTGGCATATTTGTTGGGTGATTGGCTTATGGTGTTTCGGTTCGTTGCACTTCAGAGTTACTTGTTGCCAATATCCTTTACAGACAGCTCAATATCATTTTCAATATTCAGCAAGCTGAAGGAGCTTTTGATATATACATATATATGAAGAAATCAGACCAACGGCCACGTATATACCAAGACTGTATAGCCCGCCTAAAGTGCATACACCGGGGGTACCGTTAAGACCAATACTTGATAGGCAAACTTCGCCCCACCATGCTGTAATTAGATGGTTAGTGTAAACATCTCCCACTATGGCTAAGTAAAGGTGTAGTGAAAACCATTAAACGTTCGATATTGGACCATCTGGTGCAAACCGGCCACCGTTGAAGAATCCTTCTCTGTCATCTATCGGGTGCCTAATAAACTGTCAAAAACATCGAAGCACAGCATGCTCCAAACAGCAGAGGCTATCGCAATTCGCCTCAAACAGCCAGTGCTCTGTGTTTAAAAGAAGCAAGTCCAGTCCCTGCTACTGACCTGGCTGGTCTTCAGTAGAGACTATAAATTCATGAATTTGTAATATTATCTTTCCTAATTTTTGATATTCAGTGTGTATTGTTATGTTGATGCTATTGAACTGTAACCCATCGATAATATCATTGATTTGATGTTATTTAAACAGCAACATTAATGTTGTTGTTAATAACACTAATTCATTCATTCACTATAATGTATATATATAACTGTAGAGCCTGATGATGAAGAGGCTATCGGAAAAAGTATTCTTTGTTCAGTATCCATTCTTTTTTGAAAATTGTAATGGGCATTTTATAATCAGTTAAAATGTCGATTCCCTATTCTAACTGACTCTAGTGACACACAAAGTCTCTCAAACATACAGAAGAACTGACTGAACTGATTCAAATGGGATGGTCGACTGATGAACTCGACTTCAAACAAGCAAAACGGTCGTCCAATGTTTTGACCACCTCGGTTTGCCTATCAAGCGCTGCCGGTTGATGTGGGTGGTATACATCTGGTGGCTTCCATCTGAATCGATCAATAGTATATTATTATTGTTCCTTTGGGTTCCTAGTGGAACATAGGGCTTCAACTGCACGTCTACACTTGCCACTTCTGTCTTCCTTCTGTTGTACTTTTCACCTGCATCCATGTTAGTCCGTACATACTGTTTCAACTCCTCTTCACAGGATCTCCTCCATGTCACCCTATCCTCGCACTGACGTCCCACTTGCCGCTTCCCTTTCAGCCTGGTTCCACTTGAGCAATGGCCTGACGCACGCGTAATGTCACCCAGCGGCCTCCTCAGCCACGAGTGTCTAATCCATCTCCATTTTCTTCTGTATATTTGTTGGTTGATTGGTTCTTGTTTTGTTTGTTAGTGCCCATAGCTTCCTGTTGGTGATTGTTTCCGGCCCGGCCATCCGATCTTCAGTAAAGAGCCAGCGAAGACAGTTGTTGCTGATAAAGGTCTGGTCTGCAATAGCCTGTCGATGGAAATATTCTT